TTGCCAATAGGGTTGCCACCACGCTCCTCTAACAGTTTATTGGCTATTGCTCGAACCTTAGCCTTTGTAGGGGCAAATCCACGCGCAGACTCTTCAAAAATACGTCTAATAATAGCCTCCTCTTCTAACTTATTTAGGCGTTTTGAATTTAGTTCACAGTCGCGTTGGGGGCGCTTTCCAGCCTGTTAATCAGATATTGTACTTTAAGGCACGTTATAGATAGAGGTAGTGCGTCTTTAGCTTTAAACACGTTGTAATTAGATATTAAAAAGAGCAAGTTGAAGATCTAATTTAGGATAAGTTAATTGATAGTTGTGTTGTTGAGACATAACGCGTTGTAGTATCAACGTCGACGCGCTGGTGGGGAGTGACCGACTCGCTTGGGTGACCGACTCGCTTATGAACCACGTTATAAGCTTAAACTATATATTAATAATCTCTAGATCCTCTTATTAAGTTCTTTAATTATCCTTTACTTAACTAAAGGCTATTCTAAGCGCATCTATATAAGTAATAAACCACTCTACCTAGCATTTGCCTAAAGGCTTACTATCTCGTTTACGTAGTAGTTTCTCCACTATATCTACTACTTTATATAAATAGAGGGCAAGTCCTTATAAGTTTAGCTTAAGAATATATTGTATAATAGTTTACTTTTTAGACTTAGTTAGCTTCTAGTAATTTAGCTATATTATAGGTTAAAAGGTAATTCTTTAAAGCTGCTAAGAGATCTGCTAATGATAGATGTTGTGGGCTGCTATAGCGCGTTAAATGCTCTTAAACTAGCCTATATAATAGGCCTAAATAGCTAAAGTAAGCCTACCTTTTTGCTAAGTTAATATCGCGTTCTATTATTAGGGCATTATCTTTTATACGTGAAGTTCGTGATGCCAAGAAAAAGTAGCACACTTGGTGATGTGGCCCGCTTGGTGATGGAATACGTTAGTAGTTTTAAACTATTTAAGTATAACTTTAGAATTATAGGGATAGATCCTAGTAGCTATAAAACTACTTAAAATATTATTAGTAGTAAACGTAGATGTATACACTGCCTAAAATAGGTAGAGGAAATTACTTTTTTATATTTAGAGCAATGCTTAGCTATAGCGTATAAACTCTAATAGCTCTTTAGAGTACGCTACTAACAGCAGCCTATATAACACTATATTAAGAGGCTATAGAGTATAAGTAGCATAGAGTAGAAATATTAAAAGTATCATTTAATAAAAGTAATAATATTTAATAAATTTAGGTAAGACGTAGCTACTATAGCTATGAAGGATAAGCATCTAGTAATCGCGTTTAGCTTTTACCTTTATTTAATAATAAAAAACTTATTCCAGCTAAGCTAAGCCTAAGTTATTATTACTTTATTTAGATAGACTTATAGAGAAAAAAATATAGTATTTTCTAACCTTTAGGTTGTGTACTTAGCTATTGCAAAGTCTAACTTTGCTTTTATAGATAACGTAAAGATCTATAGCGCTTCTATTAGTATAAATATATACTAAAACTATTATTTACTCTCTATTACTATCTTAGATAGTAGTAGTAATTATTTTTTAGTCCTAAAGTTGTTTAGAAAATACTTATTTTACCCTTATAGTAGACCTAACTAAGAAGCTCTTCTTATTTATATTATAGATGTTATATAGCGCAATATTGTAGTTATTGAGTTTTTTAAAAATAAGATGAAAATATAATTAATAACTATTATAACTATTAGCTTTGTAATAATTATAGTCTATCCTAGTAGTGTATTTAATAGTAAGGTTAGTAGTGTTGTAGTCTAGAAAACGTGTGACCTAGCTGTAACGGCGCAGGTAAGGCAGGTCGGATCTGTTTCGGTCGTAGGATCACTCAGAGGCATATGGGAGTGCGTGGGATCACAAAGAGCCTAGATTCAACAAGCCACCTATAGGCCTTGTACGAAAGGATATCAAAAGTCTACAGAGCTAGCTACAGGGAGTGTCTCAATATATACCTATCCTAGTCGGGTCCGAATTCGGATCCGACTCGGGCGAATGGCTGATGAAGGGCGGCAGGTACTTCCTCCGATCCGGCTCTGGGATTGGCTC